TCTATAAAATATGTGACACATAACATATGTGAAAAAATCTTTAAAATATGCGCATATATTTGCACCACATATTTCTGAACACCCTAATTGGGACCTTACCTTTTTGATCGTATAAAATTAATGATCGTCATTTGATTTATGTTCACATATTTAAATTTAAACCTTTCATAAATTTATCATAAAAAAGAAAAAAAATGAATCAAATATTTGGAAATGAAGATGTATATGATAGCTTTGACGAAAACGAAAGTAATGAAAAATGGGAATTTGTACGCGTCTTTTTTCCTTTTCTTTTCTTTTTTTTTTTTAAAAAAAAAAAAGGTTCAGGTATTGACAATTTTTTGTATAGATTGATTCATGGTTAAAAAGTCATTTTAAAGATAAGTCTATACCGCTTTTTGAGAGAAACCGTGAAGTTGCTTCGGCTTTATATGAACTGGCACTTTTTAACAAGCAACAAGATGCTATGACTGAAATTATAATTAACCGACAAAAAATTCAAACAGTGGAATATCGTGCCGAAGGTTATATATATATACGTGATTTTATACAATTGATATGATTTTTAACGCGTCTCTTTTTAAAAAAAAATAAAAAGCTAAACGTATAAAGGATATTTTGGATATTGTGGAATTATCAAAAGTCGATTTATCCAAGAATGGCACACAAGCATTAAAAACGTTGTCTTCTTTAGCTACAGTTTTGGGTTTAGCTGATACTGAACGGAGCAGGTATTTTATTTTTATTTTTCCTTTTTCCTTTATCTTTTTTCATTTTTCATATTATTTAATTCAATTAACAATGAAAATTTTAGTTATCTTTCAGCATTGGCGCAATTGAATTTGAACACTTTACGCGTAGAGCGTAAAAATAATGTTATTTTACGTAGCACAGAATCCATGGAAACTCAAATACAAACTGCTAAATTAAGAAATGAAAAATTAAACACGTTTGTTATTTTCTTTATTTTTTCTTTATTTACAATTCCTAAATAATTAAGCTGAATAAATTATTATTATATTTCTTTAGACTGTTATCTAATTTACGGTGTCGTTGGAACTCAAAAGGACAACAGAAACTTCAAGAATGGAAAAAGAATACGTTATTGTTATCGGAGAAAGGAAAAGAATACCAAAGCAGATTGTCTATTTTGGAGGTGATTATAAAGCATGAATTCAAATCGAACGTATTCTATAGTTAAATAGAAAATTTTAAATTATAGAGAAAATATAATGATATGAACGTAAAAGAAGGTGGTTTACGATTTAAAGATTTGAAAGAAAAAGAGAATAATGTAAATGCTTTGGATCATGAAATTCGGTCGAAAACATCAAAATTAAAAATATATAAAATTATGCCCCCGGTAATGCGCGATTTAAAAATTTAACCTTTTTTTTCATTTATCTATATTTATTCAATTCAAAAAAATTTTTTTTCAATTAGAACATGACATTAGCTAAATTACAATTGGATGAGGCTAAACTGAAACTAGTAAGTGAAATGTAGATTATCGCCTTATTCATCATACACTACTAATTTTTTTGTACTTTTCAACAAAAGGATGAACTAAAGGAAACTCGTGATGAATTAATATATAATATGGCCGGGAATTTTCAGTAGAATATTTGGTAAATTTGCGTGCTTTTTGGTTTTGCTGAGATGGATCATAGATATTGTACGGAATTAAACACGGGTTTTTTATTGGATAAGATAAAGGAAATTTAAATTCAATATAAACATTATACATAAACCATTTTATTGAATCATACATTTTTTTGTTTAATTAAACAATCATAAATATGGAAGGCAGTCATAAAAAAGGAAGAAATCCAAATTTTAGTCGAAACTTATCATTTCTTGCACAAAAACTTTAACTGATTTCTATACTTATAAACTTTTCTTTAAATTTTATTTTATACAATCTTTCTAAATATATATTTTAAATTTAAAACTTGAATTAACAAACAAATTAATAAAATTATTTTAGGTTATATATTAATTAAACTATTAGATTTATTTAAAATAAGACTAAAATATTATAATTTAAAACAATTTATTGGATTTTTTTATAAAATTATTTCTATAATTTATTAGTTATTTATTAATAAAATCATTTTCTAATGAAAATTGCGTTTGAATAATAAATTCAACTTAATATATAATTAATATTTTATTTCTTTTTAACCAATTTTAGTTTATTTATAATTTTTTTTTTTTTTAAATTGTATTATTTAAATAAGTTTTTTAAATTAAATTTTATTTTAAATTATATTTTACATATTATAAGTATAATTTTACTTAAATTTTAACTAGTTAGCTTAATTCATTTTTTAATTTAACCTAATTTTAATTTTAATATAATTATATTTTATATTATTTTTAATTTTTAATAAATCTATTATTATATTTATATATTTTATATTTTAATCAAGTGAAATTACATATTTTAATATAATTATATTAAAAAGTATAATCCAACTTAGGTTAGATTTCATAGGAAGACTTTTTTCTAATTGGTTAAAAAAATTGATCATCATTTCTATAATAAGTATGATTAACAAAAAAACTATCCAATAATAAAACAATTAAATATATAGCAATTATAGTTGTACAATCCGCAACAAGAAGGTAATTTATAAGAAAGAGAATTTCAACATATAGAGAACATATATAGAACTAATAAAATTATAAATAATATAATAATATAATAACTAATTATGAAAATTCTAATATAGATGTTTATTTTATTATATATTTCATAAAAGTAACGAAAAGCAATAAAAGGCAAATATTAAAATGTAATAAATTATTGGTTTTATCTTTTCATATATTCAGAAAGTATACAGATTTTTTATTTTTTAATATAAATTTGTAACTTTTACTAAAAATTTTTAAAAAAGTTCTATAACAATATAAAAAACTTTAAGTTTCGTATTATAAAAATGCCACCTATAAGCAAACTCTTTGAAACTAAGGTTATTTTGGATTATTTTTGCAAGCAGTTAGTTAGCATTTCAAAGAAGTAATGGTAAGATTTTTTTTACTTAATGTAACTCCATTTTCTGAAAAGTACTTTATACTGTATAAATAATATCTGATTTAAATTGATTTGCAATAGCCAATCATATGAAAGTCTTTTTATGAGGTTAGATTATAATAATACAGTATACTCTCAATCAGTGTGTAAAATCTATGTGTATAATATATATATATGCACATTTATTTATTGTGTGCACATATTACACAACATAAAATATGCACAAATTATTACTAAAAATAGATAAATTATATACAAAAAAAGATAAATTTACATAAAAAATTGTTATTAATTTCTTATTTTAGTAATAATTTATAAACTTGTACACATAAATTTTTACTTAGATTTTATACATTGCTCTCAATAAACTGAAGTTATGATAAACCAAAGATTACTATATACTGAAGATTTTTGTATAACCATTTTCATTAATATTTAAAATCTTTTGATATACTAATTTTACTATAAAATTTTATATAACATTATAATAAAGTTTCTATTTTTACTATTTATAATAATATATAATAAAAAAAGCTCATTTAATTTGCGTAACTTTTGCAATTTTATCAATCACTTTGATCACTTTGATCACTTTATTTTACCTTTACTTTGTTAATTTATAAAATTACTTGCTTCATCTTTATTTCACTTTATTTTTTTATTATACTAGAAACTATAAATAATAAAAGAAAAATTCTAATAAAAAACATTGTTAACCTGCGATTTTAGTGGACCACTACAGTTAAACAAGATGTTTGAGTTTTAATGTATATAGTAATCTACTGATTTATTTCTAAGTTCTGAATTTTTAACTGGTATTATCCAGATATATTAAAACTATATTCACTAAGACTTGTATATTATCATAAAGATTCACAATGGCTGTAGTTATCATAGAGGCTTAAAATGTCATTTTGACTCACAAAGGTTTATAATATTACTCAGATTTATAAGATTATACAAATGTATAATATCATTTAAACGAAGATGTAAAATATCATGCAGATATATAAGATAAATAATAAATAGTTTATTGATAAAGAATAAGAAAGAGAATAAGAAATAAAAAAATAAACGAAATAAAAGAAATAAGATAAAAATAAGAAAAGAGGATTTTACTAAGATAAAAGAATACACAGCTATTTCAGATGTTTCTAAGAGAATTATTGCACACAACCGAGTTGAATTCTACCTTTTTACAAGTTCTAAAATCTATTGTATTTATATCTTTTCAATTACATATAACAATAAATAAAATATATTAAATACAAGTTATATCTATTATGCTAATTATGTCGACAATGTCAATAATGTCATTAATATCAGTAATGTCAATAATGTCAATTATATTAACAATGTTAATAATATCACGTAATACATATACAGTAGATCAATTTATAAATCAATCTTACAAATCATTCTATTGATCAATTCTGCAAATCCCTTTGTAGATCGATTTTGCAGATCACTTTATTGATCCGTTTATAATATCAGCAAAAAAAGAGTTATGCTAAACTTTAAACAATTATTATATCTATCGAATTAATCCTGGGGATCCTGGTCTCCGCCTTTAAAAGAAGAATGATCCACAAATTTGCCTTCCCGTTGTTCACCAAATCTAACACTTTTGAAAACAGTGGTAAGTCTTTTCATCATTCAGAATAAGTCACGTTGACCTCGACTGGTTGCATTATTTTCATTGAAAGGATCATTTTTAGATTCATTACTATCAGAACTATTATATTCAGATTCAGAGTTAGATGATAAAGAAGAACTATCATAATAGGAAGAGGAAAGATAGCTTCTTCTCTTTCTGTCTGACTTTTTCTTTTTAGGCTGACTTTGAGATAGAAGTGACCCTAATTTAGATGAGTTGGATTTATTGGAATTTTTTTAACTGAATGTTGATCCTCCATTTTTTGATTCAGAAGAAGTCAGGTCAGATTGTCCAGTTCCAGATGAAGATTTGTTAGATTGTTTTGTACCAGAAGGAGGTTGATTGGTTTGTCCTGTTTCAGAGGAAAATTGTTCAGTTTGTTCTGTTCTAGAGGGAGGTGGGTTAGTTTGTCTGGTTTCAGAAGAAGGTGGGTTGATTTGGCTTTTGTAATTTTCAAAGTTTCCATAAAAAAAGTAGATTCATTAAAGTCCACATGTCTATTTCTGCTAAAAGTAACTTGTGTTGTAATAATATTATCTGGTTGAAAGTCTATATTGTCATCTCTATTATCATCATCATCATTATTTTCATAAAGAGGATGGTTATCTTCATTTGCATCCAATGGTTCTGGAGGGGCTTGTGGTCTAAAAGTTGATGTAGTAGAAATGGTTTTGGTAGCTGATCCTTTTGACTTACCTATCGTAGTTTTTCTAAGAATAACTGATGAAGGTGAAGGAGGTGTGTTTGATACAGAAGTTTTAAAGTATTCAGAAATAGTAGTTCTGGGATCCTTGTTAAATGCGTCAGTCTGACAATGCATTTGTACTGTTAAATTGATAGCCTGGTCAAAGGTGTAAAAAGGTAATTTATTATATATAAAGAAGTATAATACGCATCAATAATAGAGTATTCATAATTTTAGAGTTAGTGAATTAATAGCTGAATTAAACTCAGTTATAGTCTTGCTAGTGTATTGTCAAGCTCTAAGTATAAGACGAGTCTACTTAAAAAAGACACGAAAGGCAAGAGTTTGCTCTGATAAGATGGATAGGGGATAATAAATAATACATGATATGTCATCTAAAAGGTAGTCTCCAATTAGTTGTTTCGTTCTTTTGTTAAATATTGTGAGTAATGTATCTGCTGGATTTCAAATAAGTTCTCAAATGTATTTATGTAGTATTCTCATAAGATATTACTACGCAATTAGGAAAAAAGTATCCTGTCATCATCGCTAAATGTTAATGTGCGATTTTGGTAAATCACAAGATATTCAAGCATTATTTCTTTTTAATATACGTAGTAATTACTGGTCTATTCTAAAGTCCTGGACTTATAACTGGTATCACTTGAATGTATTTAAACTGTAATTCATTAAGACTTTTATGTTTTCAAAGATTCATAACGGCTGTAGTTATCATGAAGGCTTAACTGTTACTTTAATTCACAAAGGTTTATATGATCATTCAGATTTATAAGATTACAAAGATATATAATGTCACTTAGACAACAATGTAAAATTATCATGCAGATGTATAAGATAAATAATAATATGGTTTATTAATAACAAGAAAAATAAGAAATAAAAAAATATAAAGAAAATAAGGTAAAGAAAAGAAAAGGAGTTTTCACAAAGATAAAAGAGCATACTGCTATTCAGATGTTTCTAAGAAAATTATTGAATACAGTCGAGTTAAATTCTACCTTTTACAAGTTCTAAAATTTACTGTATTTATATCTTTTCAATTACATATAATAATAAATAAAATATATAAAATAAATAAGTTATATCTATTATACTAACTATGTCAATAATGTTGGTAATATTATTAATGTTAAATAACGTCAACAATGTTAATAATGGTATTAATGTCAACTATCACGTAATACATGTAGATCAATTTGTAGATCAATCTTGCAAATCAT